CTCCAAAGTGCGTGGTACCCACCGTGCATTCACCTTGCCATAATGCAGGTGGTATTTCACGATGTCTTCTACACTACCAACACTGATGGACAGCATTGCTCCAAGTTCCTTGATAGTGATGCACCTATTCTCACGAATAAGCGCGTCTGTACGGTCACTGTTTGGCTCGGTGATGGATGTTCGCGGCCAACGATCATGCGGTTCATTCTCCACGCGCGCTCTGCCCTCTCTGAAGCACTTACACCACTCAAACACACGGGTCCGTGAGAGACACTCTTCACCATACTGTTGTTGGAGTCTGTGGTGAATTTCAGTGGACTGGACGTTTTCTCCAATGAGGAATTTGATTACAATGCGTTGTTCTGTGCTCCGCGGTACCTTCTATTCTCTCATCACTCTAGCAACTTCCAGACAGGACCTAACAGGTTCTAACTCTAACAGGAGGGAGGGTGGAGGTTGTGGCTTCAATCTCTCAAGGTTGCACAGCTGCTGCGCAGTGCGGCTTGTTTACACACAAATCAGTCCCTGTCGTATTTGAACCACCTTGTATATGAAGTGTGCAGTGTGGCATATGTTTCTTGTCTGGGCATAGAACACATGATGGTCATGTATGACCAAAACATGTTGCAGTAATAAAGATGTAAATGTAGTAACTGAAATATTGTTGTGTTGATGGTAGCATAGTTCTTCCATATTATATATTATCTGTAACACACAACAGGACGCAACCTATGAAAAAAAAATACATTCCATCTTCACAATGTATTTGTAACCTCTGTAGTTCCCACCTTGGCTATCGCCATCCACATTAGGTATAAAATGGTTTTAATTGGCCCGTCATTCCTAACTCAATATGGCGCTTCTGATGTCAGTGTCCATCCAGTCTTACATGTGGCACTTGCAGTGAGTGGACAATGACACAGTGTCCCAACTCACCTAGCTGTGTTAAGTATACTGGAGGGTATGTAGTCAGAAACAAATTGTCCTGGCTATCTGGACCAAGACAGCTCTATAGGAACTTTTGGTCAAGGGCAAACTTTCTTTTACTGATGCTTGGAAGTTCCTGGAATGCAACCTAAGACTGAACCACTCCTATGCATTGGTCAGTAGCTTTGCAAATTGATACAGTGGCCCAAACTTTGGCTACCTCCACCTGTGATGCCCCCCCTCCATTCAAATCATCGTATCCGGAGTTACATGTGTGCCCCTGATTGACCCATGCCTGATGCATGCAAAAATGCATTCGCATAATACACCAGTGCACAATGTGGATATTCAAACACCTGGTTTGCTTCCATTCTCATGAGCTCATAATGATATCATTTAAAGAATTAGATTTCCTGTTTTTGTTCAGATTCTTGGAATAGGTGCTTGAATCCAGCAACCATACCTGACCATAGCAAGTCTCCATCTAACACATCAGACTCTCAGGCCTACAGTCCTGACACCAGGAAGTATAAACAGCAGACTCATTCTCCCATTATGTTTCAGCTGCCTGGGTACAGCGTTAACTCTTGTTCTGCAGTCAGATTCCATTCTCATATACTAATGTAAAAAAAAAAACTGCTATTACCATTCAGTTTTAATATACATAAAGTTGGTTCATTTATCTTTTCAGAAAAGTTCATTTGACATGTTTTAAATCGAGGGGAGTTTGTTACATGCAGTGTTATACAAGATATAACTCTACAAATTGTAGACCTTTGTTAAAGCATTAAATTAAGAACATAGTGCCCAAATTTCTCTTTGAAAGATCGACTTCTTAGGGTTCTCAAGAGTAGATTTTCTTCTTCAGAGCAATCAGCATGTGTATGTGTCTTAATTCAGGTACAGATAAAGTTACAGACATTTAAATGATTGATTTGCATAAAAGAGTAACACGCCAATGGATTATGATTTATAGTACTGTTGGTCAAGTCATGCTACAAGCCGGAATGTCGGAAGTTCAGTTCCTGAGGTCACTGGATTTTTCAATTGACCTAACCCTTCCAGCTGCATTATGGCCCTGGGGTTGACTCAGCCTCTAGTGCCAGGAATCTTCCTGGGGGTAAAGAGCAGGCAGCACATAAAGTTGACAACCTCACCGCCATCTGTGAGCAGACTGTCTATAAAAGGTGGGAAGCCTTGACATCTCACAACCCTATGCGCCTCCAGAGCCTCTTACCTTTTACTTCCAATGACTTTATAACTAATTCCTAATATTCGAGAACATTTTGCATCACCATTGTTGCATGCTGAAAACTTGTGTGTTGGACAACAATATATAATTGGTAAAATTTAAAGTTTCTAATGACACTGAATATCACAGTGTATAGCATCAATAACAAGAATAATGAATGAAGAGCAGTTGGGTGCAATACCATTTTGTGCACTACAAATCCCATATGACCTGATCTGGCAATGAACCCCCAGCTGCTATTGTGGGAAGAAAGTGAATAACCACCTGAAGTTTGGCACAACCAAAATTTGTGACTTTCACTGTCAAAATGTGTACATCCTGCTCTCCATCTCTTGAAATACGTCTCAGCAGATACTGGCAGACTGCAACCACAATACAACTAGAACTGATAATATTTGTAAAAATGTCAAGAAAGATTCATACAAAAATATTGCAACAAAAAGTTTAAAAAATGGGTGTTTTAACTTTACCATGTTTGATCATCTGTTTATGTCCATATAATAATTTGAAAACATTAAACAGATGTTAAGAAATTTGATACTGGGCAGTTTTACCAAAATCTGCCAATAGACATCAACTTTGAATAAAACTGGGAAATAATCATGAATGCTTTCTACAAAGATGAAAATAAATTTTTGTGCACATTTCACATATAAATCAGGATATATTTATTAGAATGAAAATTGATTCAAATAAAAGAGAATTCCATATTTTATGCTGTCTACAATCAGTGGCAGTGTGAAAATTCCAGAACTGTTACACCATGCAAACATTTTGTGGTTTGTTTGAAGTGGTTATCATGTAAACATGAAAGTAACTAAGAATAATCCAACATGTATTTAGCATTATCTGAACTAGGAATTAACATTCTTCATGCTTGAATAATCTCTTGTATTGCAGTTGTTGACTGATATTTTTTAATCAAAAATTAGGATGGCTCTGCATTAGTGTGTAAAGCATCTCTCAGGACTGTGTACATTCTTTCTTCAGACACATCTGTGGGATTTTGGAATGTGGACTTTCCACTCGCACGTAAAGGAGAGCCACACAGGGCATCATCACTTAATGGTATCTTTATGGACTGCCAGCTATAAACAAGTTGGGATGCAAACCTGTAATTACAGTTCGAGTAAAAAGTTGTCGAGAGGACAAAAGTGCTGGACAAATGCCCTTATTTTATGTAAGATTTTTCCAACTATATAACATTAAGAAACTAAGTGTTGATGTCTCTTGAAGAGTACTATTTTCTGGGATATAACGCTGTGAGAACCTCAAATCCTACATGATGTTTCTTTTCTTCTTTTCACAAAGAACATCTCACTGTAAGCCATACGTGTTTTATTGTGCTTCCACTGTATTAATGGTCCTTGATATGCTTGCTTCTTGCTAATCTAACAAGCACTTCATGCATTCAAATTCCTGCACATTTTAAGGTTGCTAATGCTTTGAAAATTTGATACAGAACATATAAAATTTTATAGTTTCCCCATGTATAATACATCTTTTTAACTTGTTATTCAGCAATTTTAAAACTTAGTATAAACTGCTGAGATAATACATATGCCATATATGATGACTATGACAAACTGCGAAGGATGTGGAAGTATGACAGTTCAATGCAAAGGTTAGATACATTCCTATTGTAAAAACTGTGGGATGAAGATATATGAAGAGACAACCACTTGTTGAACTGTTCTATAAACATTTATTAGTTGCACAGTACACACAGACGAACTTTGGTTTGAAGACTAATAATATAGTACCAACAATACTACTACTTGCAACACCCACACCTCTCTATATCAAAGTCAAAGTCACATTGCAACTGATGGTCAGTCACTCATATTAATTATTACCGTTTGACAGTTACGGTTTTGTTTCTGTGGGGCGCCCTCTCTGACGAGAGGATGGGTCTGTCTTTTGTATATGCTGCTGGCACTTGCCAGTGCAGTCTTTCTCGGGTACGAGTACCTTGGCACTTGCGACCATATTTTACTGTCTCAGATTTGAGACTTACCTTTTCGTCGCCTCCTACAACTCGCAGGGTCACGGTGGAGGTATTCGACCCCTCCTCCACACGGGGTTTGTAAACTTCCAAGTCAAGTCATATTGCGACTGACAGTCAGTCAAGTCAGTCAGTCAGTCAGTCAGTAAGTCTTGGTGTCGAGCCCCATCTGGAGCTCATGACCAGATATTTATTACTATTTGACAGTTACGGTCATGCTTTCTTTGGGGCGCCCTCTCTGACGAGGACGGGTCTGTCATTTGTATATGCTGCTGGCCCTTGCCAGTGCAGTCTTTCTTGGCTCTGAGTCCCTTGGGACTCGTGACCATTTTTTACTGTCTCAGATTTGAGACTTCCCTTTTTGTCGCCTCCTACGACTCGCAGGGTCACGGTGGAGGTATTTGACCCCGCCTCCACATAGGGTTCTCCTATATCGCCATATCTTCCTCTTATACAACATTGCGTCAGTCTGCATTGAAAACACGTCACTATCCGTACTGTTGTAGGTTTTGCCTAGCAATGGCTGTTTACTCACTGTTACTAAGCAATGATACTTGCGTTGTCACTGTAATGTTTGCTTGAATGTGGGCAGTTCCCACAAAACTGAGGATTCAACAATTCATGTCATACAGAACATGTACTCCAGTTGTACAGTTACTGTGGTTTGGGATGGTAATAAAGCAACTGGTTAATTCTCTATGGAAGCAGGGGAAACAATGACTACAAACATATATATGAAATAAAATATACCTTCCATATTTAAATATACAATTTGTTCCTAACATTTTTGTTAGAAACCGGACAACAAATACCACTGAAAAGGTGTACAGAAACTGTGAATTAGGAACGTGTATGGCTATGAACATGAAAGTCTGCATAACATATTTATGCCCAGTACCAGCTTTATTATAATTATGTTGCATTCATCAGACTGCAATTAGAAAATGTCATTTGGTGAGTTACTACTGACTGACCATACATCACTGGAACAATTATGCAAAAGCAGGGGAAAAAATTATGTGACAGTTGTCCAAAATTTATATCTGAGTTTTGATTCTTTGCTGTAAGAAACTGTCACAGTCGTAGAAGGTATGTTTTCCTGTGCGAAGCTCCATTCCATGAAGACAAGGGATATCACAGAAATGCTCCATACATTTTAAACCTCAGCATTAGATCAAGATGATCAATTAGTTTTATGATCTGGTTGCTTTATCCCACAAATATGTTCCTTGTGCCCATTAATTAAGAGGCCAGCTGGGTCCCAGAGCTGATCTGAATGTGATGATGAAGAGAAAGTTCACCATAAAGATGGAGGCAGTATATTTCTTCAAAATGTTCCTAATAATCTATCAGAGTACACAGTGTCATATCCCAGAAGACAATAATCTTCATAGTCACCCCTGTGAGAACCTCAAATCTCTCACAGAAACATCCGCTGGGAATCAAAGTGTAACTGTCCCATTCAGCTAGTCACTTTACTAGCTACACCAATCCAGCTCACCTTACAGTAGTTTATTATTATTATTATTATTATTTTACTGCAATTTGGTATTCACCTGGTGGCAGTAGATCTTACACTGATACAGACAAGAAAATACTATAACATAATGGGAACAATACAAAAACAAAGTACATATAATATGCAAGGTACACACAGTATGTTATGTACATAACCTCTATATATGTCAAGGACACTAGCAGGTTTAAAACGTACTGTGAAACTTGATATTTTTAGTTACAGAGCAGGACATGGTGATCCACTTTACTGCATATCTACCAATGATTTTCACTCAAAAAGTGGAAAGTCTGCACCACTGCAACAGAAAATCAGAACAGTGAACTTTAAAATGTCAGTAGGGTCTATCAGAAAATCACATGCCCACAAAATAACTGTAGTTACTGTGATATGTTCATAAAATAACAATTTTTCATTCAGTATAAATATCCAGAAAAGAAACATCTTCAATTCATTCTCCCAACATGAAAGATATACTGCACATTGAATGCAAATGATCATATCCATTTCCATGACATATTAGAGAACAAAAGCCTCACACTTGCAATTTTGTCAAAAAAAAAAAAAAAAAAACCCCCAAAACTACACAGTTGTACAATGGTATCTTTCCTGGTCACTGTTCACACAAAGCAAGACAGTCATACCATTAACTGGTAGAAAAATTATCTGCGTTTCTTTTTTTCTTGTTTTCTGGGTCGATGGTGTGCATGTGGACGACGAGGTGTGGCTTGTGGTGTGCTGTGTTCAGATCCCTCATCGTCACTAAGCTCCAGTTCCTGTTAACAGAAAATCAACTTCATAAATCATTTGCTGGCTGTTTCTCGGGTTGTATATCTACACTGTTTGAATGGCACAGGTTGCATAGTGTTGAATGAATCATGAATATATATTGGTTTGGAAACAGGCAGTCCCAACCTACTTAAAGGTAATATGACAGTATAATGAAGCCAATGTCTCGCTGAACAATAACATGGCTGGTTGAGTGAGCAATTAGCAGTGGTTTTTGTGATGGGTAATGCATCTCTTACATTCTGTCCTAACATGGTGACATACATATCACCAGGGCCCAGATTCTGATGACCTAAAAATATTTTAAAAATCCAGAAAAGTTATCTAAAAGTTAAAAAATGACCCAAAAATGTGTCATGTCATGGAAAATCTACTAATTGTTTTAATATGTATTTTCAATCTTTATTAACACTGTGAACTCAATGTTACTCTTTTAATGATTATGTATTTCAGCATCCTGCTGCAACTGTTCAATTTAACGTCCATTATTTATCGTTCGTCATTACTGCAACACTTTTTTATTCACTACTTAATTTTAATTTTAGTTTAACATTATACATTCTGACACTACATGTCTTGATATGTTACAAATATTTTATTGAATTATGTTAAAACTGCTACACTGTCTTAGTCCGTGTTAAAATCACACGCTGTAGTCCTCTTTTCAAGGTAAAACCAGATAAAATCCTTTAAAGTTTCTATTATACCCATGTTATTTTAGTGCATATCATTTCACCTCACACAGGGTGTTGTCTAGTGTTCATAAATGTATGTCTGTCCAGGGTGTCTTGTTTCGGCAGCTTGCCCCTCATGTCCGTAGCCTACTTTTTAGTTATGACTGCAGAACAAGTGGAAAGGATGGGACATTATTACCTCTTATTATTGAATACTGTGGTAGCAGGTATTTGGGTGCAGCTGCAGGCTGCCTTTATAGAGGCAGGAGAAAGATTAAAGAACACTTTACTTGCATATTACTCACACTTCTGAAAACATGTGAAGAGAAATTCCCTAAAATGGCTAAAATGACAAAAAATGCCCTTAAAAGTCCAAAAGATTACCAAAAATGACCCCAAAACTGAAAAAATGACCTAAAAACTTAACAATGACAAAAATGGTAAAAATTACCTATAAAATTTACATTTCTGTAAAGCAGCCTCCGTAGCCTAGAGGTAACGTTCCCACCTCATGACTCGTAGTACGCGGGTTCAAATACTCGGCAGAGGTCATCGAATTTTTAAGGGTGGAAAAATTCAGGGAACAAGTCCTCCGGGAGGGACTTTAAGCCGTGGGTCCCATGTTGTAGCTTTACGGCACGTAAAAGAACCTCATACCTCCAAAGGAGGTCACTGAGCAAAATTGCGGACGTTTGCCGCCCAACAGCAGTCACTAATACCTCCGGTAGATGGGGGAAGCATTATAGATACTTCTCAGCCAGTAGAGCCGGTCTCGCTGGCTGGGCGGGACTGATGGTAAGCACCAATACTGGTAGGATATAGAGGCTGGTAGAAATCATAGAGGGAAGCACAATGGACCACTACAGGTCTAAGTGCATGGGGAAACCCACCCTCTCTAATAACTAACTAACTACATTTCTGTAACCAGCATTTCAGCTCTGGGATTTATATGCTGATGGGCATCAAATAGGATGCAAGGAAAAAAAGATAACATATCAAAATCTGGGCCCTGCATATCACTGACTGAGAATATGGGTTTCAGTCAGAGGAACAGCAATGGAACACTTGCTGTTTCTGAGACATCCGTCAGTACTGAATTTGGTCTCACACGCCTTAACTTGCTCATAAGGAACTGCTTCAGTTTGGAGATCACTTCCTACATGGAGTCACAATGATTACCAGGCATGGAGGCAAAGAATGTAGCCAGGCAGCACATCTTGCAGCTCTACTGGTATGTTATTATGCCAAATTAAGTTCAAAGTGTTATTTTGCCCAAAGTGCTCATATTTATAGTTCTGTACAAGAAAAGAATGACATTATCAACATCCAACTGGTAACATCTGCTTCAACCAAGTGCCCAAGCTACAGAACTGAAACATTCATCAGCTTCATTTTCACGCACAATGGACCTTCCCCTAAGGTAATTAAATTCAGGACACATATTCATAGTTTAATTCTTCACGACAAGTGTGTGAAAGTCGATCTTTCAGTTAATTCATTTTTGTCTTCATGGATCACACATCCTGATGCCTGTACCTGGCTCAAAATCCTTTCCCACATTTCTTCTGTCTTCCTTTTCCTCTCTGCATTGTACGATAATGTACCTGTGATTAATTAACTATACATCATTAAGAGATACAGGAAAAAGGGAAGCAGTGCTCCACACATTCTAATCCTTGGCAGCAATGTTCAGCTTCACACCCTAGTCACTGCTCCCAATGGACATGAGAGATGAACTACAGAAATTATTTAAAAAAGACACATACTTATGCCATGCTTTGGGATTTTATTTCTGGCAGGGGCTACAGATTCTCTCTTTCTACAACAACCAGAGCAACTGTGGGGGTATATTCAGTCTCCCACTCAGTGGATAGCAGGGGCTCTTCCCCTGGAGGTAAAGTGGCTGGGGCACGAAGCTGACCACTCACCTCCATCTAGTGCCAGGTTAAGAATTTGTGGAGCTATACCTCCTCTCCCTCATACATCTTCATGATGTGATGCTTTGTTAAGCATGGGGACAATTTTATATTTATGGCAGCACTACCTTGCAGTAGCTGGAATTGGAGTCACCCATTTTGTCAGGCACAACAACCGCAGCTGCAATACATATGAGTTGGAAAATAGCTCCAAGGTATAAGCCACAGCGCAGAACTGAGTCAACAAAATCTTCAGTCATGATGTGGTTCCTGCAAGAAGAAACATGATTACTGTAAGAAGACTGGAAAGATATATCTGTACCGGAGTGCATACAGTTTCACATGTGTTCTTTGCATCCAGGCACTCTGCATGCTCTGAGAAGCTTTCCTTCAAGATGTTAACAATATTAAGTATAAATATGGTGCTTCATCATCAGTTGGTGATATACTATTATGTCATCATTAGGGAGTTACTAGTTACTCAAAGTACTTCCAGCATTCATATGCCAGTAGGAAACTCAAACATACTGTCGTGTGTAGGGGGGTACGCGTGACAAAATGGTGGATTCTAGTTTGGATGATTGGATTTATTAGCAGCTTGGTTACAAACTCTCTCTTATTACACTCTAATAAGCACTATTGCTGTCTCCACACTTTATAAGCCACTCTTACACACGCACTAGGATTCTCTGTCTTCCACTAGTTGTCTCCTAGCAACGGATCTCCAAACAGAAACTAGCGCTTCAAATCACTCCAAATATTACATACAGGGTGTTTCACAACTTTAGGGCATAACTGCAGGAGGTGATTTCCTAGGTCTTTGTGATCAAAAAAGTTCACATAAGCATGTGTCCGATTTTGGACGGTTACGGAGTTATGACCGTTTTTTCATTCCTGTACATGCCCTCATATGAACCGTGTCTGTCAGCTGGCAGGTCGCTATTTTTAGCCAGCTACAGACAGAGCGTTCTTGTTATCTCGACACTTGAGAGCTACCTAAGGCAGGGAGGGTTGGTATGTCCGGCGCAGTTCAGAACCGAGCGGCAGCCTGTGTTGTGGCTGCCGGTGGCATTTTCGAAAAGCAGCTTTAAGCACCAATAAATTCAAATTAGAGGTAATTTCATGAAGTTAACTTTACATTCATACTTTAAATGTATGATGTATTATGCTGGTTTATTATTTTGTTCCGTTTATTGTCAGTAATCGTTACCTTCTATTCTGAGTGTAAAACGGTCATAACTCCGTAACCGTCCAAAATCGGACACATGTTTATATGAACTTTTTTGATCACAAAGACGTAGGAAATCACCTCCTGCAGTTATGCCCTAAAGTCGTGAAACACCCTGTATAATTAAAGTCTTCCAATCACATGCCAAGTCTTCACACGACAATTTTCCTGTGGCTGTCACTTAAACACTTGGAACACTCTCAAATACTCCCCCATTCTCCTTGGTCAAAGTCAAAGTCACATTGCGACTGATGGTCAGTCAGCCAGATATTTATTACTGTTTGACAGTTATGGTCTTGATTTTGTGGGGTGCACTCTCTGATGAGAAAATGGGTCTGTATCTTGCATATGCTGCTGGCTCATACCAGTGCAGTCTTTCTCGGGTCTGAGTCCCTTGGGACTTGCAACCATATTTTACTGTCTCAGATTTGAGATTTCCCTTTTTGTTGCCTCCCATGACTCGCAGGGTCACAGTGGAGGTATTCGACCCCTTTGCACAGACCACGCAGAAAATAGTCTCTCTATAGTTGGAATGTGTTTACCGAGCGATTGCATGGCAACATTCATGGCGCCAACTGCATAGAAAATGCCACACTCCCATTGTTGCCTTGTGTGTATTCAGTTGCGAGGTGTTTAATGGTCAGTTACCTAGCAACGCTGGGTCCATCCATGTCACAATATTTACACAGGACCTTTCTTCCATAAGGTTGCCTACACAACTTAGCATGTATTTTACTTTTAATTTGGAAGTGGTGTTAGTACCACTACCACCACACAAGTTCAAGCAGCAGACGTGTTGTCTCTGATTGCAGAAAACTGAAATATACCAGCTTGTAGCTGCTCTGTTCGCATAACTTTCACATCCAACTTAATCAAAATTGGTCCAGTGGTTCTTGAGTTTGAACAAATGGATATGAATTACTTCTGTCCAGATCATGAGAACTCACAAAAAGGTAATAGTTATCTCTCTGCCTACACACCATACCATGAAGCCACATAAGGGATGCATGAAAATAAAGCTCCATCTATTTCAAGTCATTAACCTCATCATTTGTATGGAAATAAGTGGTTGGCTTCATTATGGCTGTCTTTAACAATTTCAACAGCATGACATTTCCCTCATACCATTTTGATATGATACAAGAGAAGTATCCCAGTACAGTACATACCTTAACTACATATCACTTAACACTTACTGTGTTTTAACAACTAAACAACTAGTATACTTCTGAAACGTAGGTCCAGTATCTGAAGTGGGCGGAGACGATACAGTACTTTTCACTTACGATTCTGTATTATCTGCATAGATTAGGCACTACCAGATAATAAAAGAATTATTATGGAGGAAGAGCTGCATGGTACCATTCTTATGTGCCTAGAAGTCTGGTGAAAACATCAGTCACTGTGTCCAGTGATCTTGCTTAAAGTCAAACCAGGTATCTCTTGAACATAAGTCAGATGCACTACTGTTCTTTATGCATAATTTCATATTAACCTGGCATTTATCTATTTATAAAAATTATGGGCACAGGTACCTCAGGTATTAATGTGGCCAGATATCATTCCACTAGATTCTGTTCCACTTCAAGTATCTCACTCTCAGTGAACAACACTGTCAACTGCATATTAAATTTTATTGAATGACTGGTACAATAACTATGACAGGGGCAGGAACTGTACGTTGTTATGGACTATCTTGAAAAATCATCTTAGCATTTCATCAACACCTCAGCAGTAATCCTGTATTGTAATCATATTATCAGAACAGGGATCACATGCTGATATTTTATAATATGAATACAAGCTAGTTATTATTTATAATATATATAAATGTCCTACCCAAGATTTTGGAGACTAAGAGTATTCCCATTCTATTTGCTGATGATGTCAGTTTTTTAATCTCTCAAGACAATCCAATAAAACTTAAAAATACAATAAATGAAGTATATAGGATGCTGGAGGACTGGTTTAAAAAACATTAATGTCACTTAATATAATGAAAACATAACTTCACTGTAAAAAATAATGTAGTTAGAGAAATGGGAGGCATAGGAACGGTTTTATTAAATATAAATCACATAAAATTTCTTGGCCTGACTATCCAAAATGATATAACTTGGGATAGACATATAGATGAGATAACAAAGAAATTAAATACAGCTTGCTATATAATAAGAAATGTAAAACCAGTGGTGTCTGTAAAAACATTAAAAAGTGTTTATTATTCATACTTCCATTCTGTTATGACATGGAGTAATGTTTTGGGGTAACTCAACACATGCAGAAAGAGTTTTTAGGATACAAAAGAGAGTTATAAGAATAAAAGGATGTGGCTACAGAGAGTCATGCAGAGAACTGTTTAGGAATATTAATATATTTCCTTTAAGATCACAGTATATATACTCTCTGCTGATGTTTATAGTAAAAAATAGAGAAATATTTGATACAAATAGGGATTGCTATGAAATAAATACTAGACATAATATGGATATACATATGAGCCAGGTAAATTTGGCAAAATGTGGTAATGGGGTAATTCACATGGCCATAAGGATTTACAATGTACTACATAATAAAATTAAAGTAACTTCTAATGATATAAATAAGTTTAAAAACAATTTAAAGGAATTTATTTATTTGAATTCTTTTTATACACTGGATGAATGATTTTTAAGAGATTGATTATACAACTATATAAATATATATAAGATGTTGAGTAGTACAGTAAATGGATAATCATCGTGAATGTGCGATAATCGTACTTATAATTGAATGTTTTTATATGCTGGATTTGTTGTATATGTTAAAGCTATATGACCAAAATATTCTGTTACTTTTGACGGAAACTTTCATCTTAAATGTTTATTTTAAATGATAATTTGAGTGTATTGTGCTAGAGAGTAATTGTATTATGATGTAAACAGAGACTGTCATATATTATAAGTCTTTTTGACAACTGCTTGATAGTATTAGCAGGATAAATTGACACAATTCTGTATCCAAGGGTTTAGCTTACTATAAATGTAATGGAATAAGGAAGAAATAATTCAATTCAATTCAATTCTTTATTATTAATGTGCCGAGTCAACAGCCGCAAGGCCAATTACAGACACAGCACAGTGCAGAAGAATGAATTACAATATACAGAAACTTATTAAAAGTCAAGTACAAATTACAGGTTAACACTTGGAAGAAATAATAATGAATAAAGTAATAGTAAACAAACAAATAGCTGATAATTATGACAGTAATAATAATTTCATTATCATTAAACTAAGTGTTATTACGAATTGAGGAATGAAACATAAATATTTAATTAAGTAATGAATAATATAGATTTATAGAGGATAATAATAATATACGTAATTCATTTTGTTTTACTGGACATGCAAATAATAAAATATTAACAGTTATACTATATTTAAAATTTGAAATAATAATAATAATTACAATAGAAAAGTTGCTCATGATGTATAACGTATTTCATTATGAAATGTTCTTGCCCTGGAATTAGTAGTGTTCCAGACACAGAATATCAACACTGGCTCCTTCCCTAGCAGTCTCACTAACGTGTAGAATTCTGTTTAATTTTTGGTGCAGAAATATTTTTACTTTCATACTTCACTATTTATGTGTGGTAGGGTAGCATACTTGATATAGCTACTGTCTACAGGCTGGATGACCGAGGGGTCAGAGTTCAAGTCCTGGTATGGTCTGAATTTTCTCTTCTCCATATTGTCCAGACAGGCTCTGGGGCCCACCCAGCCTCCTGTCCAATGGGTACTGGGGGCTCTTTCCCTGGGGGTAAAGCATCAGGGGCGTGAAGCTGACCACTCACATCCAGCTAGTGCTGAGGTGAAAAAATTATGGATCTATACAACCACTCCCCCATGAGCCTTCATGGTGCTTAATTAGTTAAGCATAGGGACAACTTTACCTTTACCTTACTTTCATTCATTCATTCATTTATTTCAAAATCAAAATAGATCCAGATACAGGCTGGGAAACAATCATTGGATATAGAATGAGTCACAGATAAAAAAACAAACATTCCATTCCCACAGGAACAAGTCAAGGCATTCATAATATAAAACAATAAAAAAGAACATATCAACCATATATACAACAAAACTCCTCCAGTTTACAAAAACAACGCAAGACATAGAACCCTCAAAGGTTTCAGGCATCAGTACAAGATCTTTTTTCATTTTCATTACTCATCTATTATTTCCATAAAATCCAAATACTTTAGGATGTGGAAAAGTCATATTAGATAAAGAAGCAGTACAAAGAACTAAGTCAAGACATAAGAACAGAACCAGAATACAATTAATCTTACCGACTAGTATATACAAAAATTTCATCCACAGTATAAAATGGGTGACAACTCAAGAATTCTTTTAATTTTAATTTAAACCGTTTAATATCTTTATATAATTGCTTCAAATTTAGTGGGAGATAACTGAATAGTTTGATGCCTATATAATTTGAGCCTTTCTGATATAATGATAAACGAGTTGAGGATTGATATCGATTTAGGTTGAATACCTGTCTAGTGTCTCTATTATGTATATCAGATACAAAATAATACTGATCCATGCTATCGACCACAAAAGATAGTACTGAATAAATATACAAAGATGAAAGAGTAAGAATTTTTAGAGTAGAGAATATTGTTTTACTTGAGTTTCTATTACCAGCACCAGTTATTAGACATCGATAGCGTACGAAGAGTTACCCCAAAAAATAATGCCATATCAAATAACAGAGTGAAAATAGGCATAATAAACCATCATCAAAGTTTCCTGATTTACAAATGGCTTTATGACTCAGACTGCATAGCACACAGAGCTAAGTTTTGGGATAAGTGAGTCAATATGAGTTTTCCAAGTCAGTGCAATATTAACCCCTAAGAACTTTAAACGGGTTGAACTGGGTATTTCCATGTTATCACATACTATCTTTATCTCATGTTCATGCATATTTTTTGTATTAAACTTGACAAATTCAGTTTTAGAAAAGTTTAAGAACAATAAATTAGCATTAAACCATAATTTTAATTTACTGAGAACTTCGGTCACACTATGTAGGAAAATTAGAGGATCTGGATTGGATATAATCACACTAGTATCATCAGCAAAGAGGATAGAATAAGAGATCCTATTTAATACTGGAGGCAAATCATTAATATAGATCAAGAATAACAGGGGACCCAAAATGGATCCCTGCGGGACACCATAGGATATTAAGCCCCAATTTGAATAGGTATTTAGGTTACTATCCTTACCTTGTAATTTAATTCTCTGAAACCTTCCTTTAAGATAAGATGCTATCCATTTATGCATCGGACCCGTAATACCATAGAATTCGAACTTATATAACAAAATCTTGTGATTGACACAATCAAAAGCCTTTTTCAAATCACCAAATATTCCACCCACATTATGGCCAGCATTTAGGGCAGTTAAGGTCAGGTCAAGCAATCTATTAATGGCCTTTTCAATGGAAAGGTTCATTCGAAATCCAAACTGTTCATTGGTTAAAACATTGTTGATAGTCAAATGATGATGAAGTCTAATAAACGCAACTATCTCAAAGATCTTCGAAAAGGAAGTAAATAAGGATATAGGCCTATAATTATTAGCCTATCCAGCATTCTGGAGTTGATTCTTTTTATAATTATCAGTGAGGTAATCAATATTGAAATCACCACATATAATGAATTCGGTTTTTGATGGGTATAATGATTTGAGCACCTCATCCATTTTGAGTATAAAATTAGTAAAATTACTGGAGGGAGCTCTGTACACAGATAAAATATAAACATATGATGGTTCATGTCGAATTTTTACTGCACAAAGTTCTATATCAAATTCTACACAATATTTATCAAGATTTACAGCAATAAATTTTATATAGGTGAGAACAAATATATTTGTTCCACCTTTCATAGCATTATTTCTACAAAAACTGGCCCCAACCACGTAATTTTCCATTAGTGTTGTAAATTTCGGCATTCTTTAGATGGTGCTCGCTAATACAAATGATATGTGGTAGCTCAGGGTATAAGAAACTTAGCAGTTAATTGATTTTAGATTTAAAACCACAGATATTCTGATGGCAGATATTTAAAAAATTTGTTGAGACACATGATTTACCACTTTTACTATTCAATCTATTTAAGTGTGATAAATTACAGTAATCTGTAACAAAAAGAACATCATGTAGACCTATATTTAGAGAGTTAAAAATTTTAATGGTAACATCTTTGTATATTTTAGAGGTGTTACGTTATTTCAAGAAATATAACATTTACACCACAAAAAACTCTGACCTACATAAGTATGACACAAGAAAGAAAGAAGGCCTTCATGTGCAAAGTTATAATTCCTTAACATATGAGAAGGGTGTTACAAATATGGCTATTAAGCTTTATAATAGACTGCCTTTGGAACTAAGAATGATAAAAGCAGACAGAGAATTCCTACATAGACTCAAAGGATATTTACTGGAACACCCATTGTATAATTTGCATGAGTTCCTCTCAGGACAGTTAAACAAATAAGATTCTCCTTGATAAACAGATTTAAGTGTAAATAAAATGACTAGTAATTAGGTAACGTTTTAAATATGATTTATCCTATAAAGGGAATGGAAGTCTCAAAAGAGACTGCACTCCAAATTATGTAACTGTTATCTAAATTGAATTTTATCTTTTGTGGATTATTTTGATATAATAGGTTTTAAGTTTAAGAATATGATGGTGGTAATTAAGATATATAGTAAGATGACCTTGTTTTTTATAATGGAAGGTAGTCGTAAATTTGATTGTACCTAATATATTTTAATGATACCGAGAGTGTGATTTTAATTGTAACTGAATGTTATGCTATGTGATATATGATGACGTTCAATCAATTGGGCAGGAGGCCAATTAGACTAGAAAAGTTCTATATGTATGTGACTTGTTCGAGAGTTACAATTTGTAACTGTGATGAATGTTAAATAAAATTATTATTATTATTATCATCATCATCATCTTGGTTACTAAAAATATTAGTTGGGTTTAACTTTCCCATAAAAAATAATCTGTTTTTTTACCAGCTGTTTTCTAATACGTTTACTCTTGTTACCTTCATCAGGATTCTGTGGTAAAGTATGATTAATAGTAGACAGAACACTAATTAACTGTGCTTGAAACACACAATAGCCAACTGGTATAATACTGTTGCTCGTATTACTTGTCTTTTTTATAAGGGAAAAATAAGATGAGCTATTTATTGCCATGACAATAACAAAACTTAGATGAATAATCTTTTTATTGCTAGTGGGGTGAGACTAAGTTCCTTGTACTGCGGTCACTTCTGGCATATTGTATCAGCCCCACATTATAGGTGAGGGTGATTGTGGAGCAGTTGGTGGAATGAAGATTGTCAGGGGAAACTGAAGTACTCAGAGAAAACCTGCCCCAGCGCCACTTTGTCCACCACAAATCCCACTTCACCAGACCCTGGATCGAACCCGGGCCGCCAGTGACTAACCGCTTAAGCTATGGCGCGGTCTGAATAATTTATTTACTGTGTATCTGTTGCAAATGAACCAAGGATTGTTGTTAGTAGTATTTCTGATTTTTAATCACTGGGTTCTGTATTTCTTGAGTGCAGTCCTTGATTTATATTTTCCTTACCAAGATCACAGGATGCTGGTTCCTTCCTGAAACAATTATACCTAAAACCACAAGCAGTCAACATAAACAATGGTTTTTACAATCAACATCAACATTTTCGCATGGTTTGTATCGGTTTGTATGGTTTGTATACACATCAGAACCTTTCCTGAACAAAGTCGTGTTAATTGTTGTGGTCAGTTGCTCGGTAAGACTTACTAAGCGAAACCAATCTTAACCACCCATCTCAGCCGATATACAATAAAATGTGCCCAACTGTGACCCATTGCTCTGTATTCATAATATTTCATGAAGATATCCTGAAATAAATCTATCAGTAGTAGAAATGATAATTAAGGCCTGAAAACCCTTATGTGTGTTTAAGAGGTATAATTATTAACGATTTCCAGAGTATACAGTTTAACTTAGGACCGGAAAAAAGATATTGGGTTTGAGATTGTGGACGGGAGTCCGTGGATGTAAACCATTGTTTTGTAGCAATGAATAGCCGCCATGATTAGTTTTGATGGTGGGTTTTTAGTGTGAGATAAAAATAGAGGTTATTTGGTGAAAGCGTGATAAAGTACAATTTTAGATGCATAATAATTAGTAGGAATGAATTTCCTTTAGTTCTTCATTTAGGTTTCAGGATGCCCTTGTATTATTTGTTTTAGAATGTTAGTGTTTACATTGAAGTTTGAAGTGTAGGAATGCTTTGCTGTCAGTTACAGGTAAGTTTGTGTAATAAATTATATTTTCTGTTCATGAAAAGTGTAGCAGTATATTACTAATAAACGTACTTAGTTCACGCAACATCATTTTCTTTTCAATGGAATACGTGTGCAACTAAAATGTTTGAAGTTGTCAAGTTTGAAAGATGTTTGTCGTGTTGTGCAGAAGTGTTCCTAATTGCGTTGCACGTTGAACGTATGTACTAAGGTGGCATTAAGTATGGCATTCGGGTGAAGGAAACTGCTGCATTTTACTGGGGATGTTAATTTGCCCATGTTGCCTTTGAATTATATGTTTGACATTACAAACGAGACTAAACAAACCGTTGGTGGTGGTAGTGTGTACAAACTAATTTGCATTTTGAATTCGTGGTGCTGTTTAACACGTATATTGCTGTTATATTTATAGAACTTTATAAAATAACAGGATTGTGGTTTAATTTTGATGTTCTTCATTATATTTCATTAGTCATTTAACTTTCATTTTGTATGAGCATGATCACTACATTTTCCCTGGATTTAAATGAATATGAACGTAAAGTGGAGATATTGTTCGTAGAGATGTGTTTATGTTTGAGCAGTACGTAGGCATTGCCATCATATTTAACAGTAAACATTTTGGTTATTTCATAGCATTGTTTTCAGATGTAGTCTGTTAACTGGATTGAACATTCCTCTTGAAAAATCGCTTTTGGGTTGCTTGCAGAGCAGGGAGTGGTTTAAAGTTTCAGTTATCAAGTTTCCAGTGTACCTAGTTTCTGAAAAGGAATGTGTGCATAAGAACAGGGAGCATTTTTGACATCTGATATGATCTGAGTGGGCTTTATATGTGGTCTGTTGGGATGTGGGCTTTTTGATTTCACTGTATAGCTGAACATGCACAGAAAGAGTTTACACAAGGAGCTAGTACCTCTTCTGCAGAACATGCTGAATAATTTGTGGTAGGCTGTCAAATATTCTCATATGTTTGCATCCCATATATCCTAGGGAGCAGAATGTGGGGCAGACCAATGTAATATATGACATTTGGGGCATGGACTTTGTCCATTCAGGACACCCATGCTCCTTGTATTCCTTGTTTTCCTACTTTGGTTTGGCCACAGCATATTCCTTCAACTTTCCTGGTCCCTGCCCAGCCTGTTGCTAGCATACATACTATTTCTCTCCACTTCCAGCTTCAGTCAGCATGCAGCTGGTCCTTTTTAGATCCCAGCTGAGGTATTACTTCCTTTGCTTCAATTGGTTCTCTTTGATTCCTTTTACAGACAGTGGTCACTTCCATTGGCTCTCTCATAGTTATTTTCAGGCTTTGAAGGGTCTGTATCAGGACAGATTTTGCATGTGTGGTTTGTTCAGCTTGCCTCTTTCTTTGGTTGGCTTCTTGCTTGCATATCCCTCTGATCATGTAGATGAAGGCAGTACATTCTTCTGAAACATGAGGCTTTCTTCAAACTACATGACATTACAACCCAAAAGGCAGGACTTTATAAAATGGATGGATGATAGATGAATGATAATTCTCCAAACTACATGACATTACATCCCAAAAGACAGGACTTTATAAAATGGATGGATGATAGATGAATGATAATTTGGAAAGGATTTGGATGGAAGTAGTTGTGACCTAAGCAAGATAGTATCACATTACTGGTCTAGAGAGACTGATGAAATCCATGAAAACCTCTGTCAGGGTATATATATAGGAATTATGTCTACCGTCAAACACAACAAATAGTCAGTTTTTATTTTCGATCTTTATTGCTGCTACATGTTTCGGTTATATAAGACCATCATTAGGCAGTTATACACAGGAATACGTATAGTCATTAAAATACCGATATGGATCCTTGTCAGTGCAACACATATTATATACTAACATAAACTTTTGCCTCGGGTTAATGTAGCAAATACATAAATAAGATAAAAGATATTAAATACAGTCAACTCTCGATTATCCGGGATAATGGTGGGGATGGAAATCACAATTAATCGAAAACCCGGTTAAGACAAATTTTATTAAAAGTAGTACTGTAATACTGTACCTTCATAATACAATAGGCCTACCTGTATTTAAATTTATTCAACCTCATTTTTATGTCATCTCATAGCCTATTTAATACTTTTTTTTACATTACACTGAAGTATGAATTAGTTATTTCAATCACAGTCTTCAACAACATCCAACACTTTTTACGAATATTCACACTTAACACTTAAAAAAATTTAATATTGTCGTTTACTTTTTTGCGGCATTCTCCTTTTTCTGTTGAATACTTAACACAACACGCTTCCTTTTACACCCTGACATTTTGCTAACGCACTTGAAGATCGATGCAAAGATACTAACTGGGGCGATGTATCTATCCTTGAAACTTTCCACAAATCCTTGCATTCTTTCACCCCTACCCTAGAACATTGTGTTAGCATAACGGGACCAAAGAATGCAGAGCTCGGTTCACACTAGTACGAAAATAGTGTTACAGCTTGCCATGTGAAACAAAAGTGAATGAATATTAAACAACATATAAGCCTCAAAAAAGCCTCAGTAGCCCCAGTTAAGCCGCAAACCGGTTAATCTGCCCCCGGATAATCAAGAGTTGACTGTGTAGGTATATCATATTAAAATTTAGAATGTCTTGAATATATTACTAAAAAATATTAAAAGTATGTTAAAAATGTTGTAAGAAAACATTAAAGGGTTTTTCATGGTAAGTTAAGGATTTGTATGCCAGCTTACCGTATTTATGCATGTATAGGCCGCACATTTTTTGCCAAAAATTCAGGAGGAAAACTGGGATGCGGCTTATATTCGAAATATTCGAAATCACACTTCATTTAAAAAAATTATATTCATAATTAGTAACACAGGGTGTAATACTCCTGAAATAATATTCCAAGAAAATTATTTTTCCTATAATTTCTGTCTGAAAATTGTGCTGCGGCCTATACACGCACGCGGCCTATACATGCGTAAATACAGTAAATATGGTAAATATTTTAAGGTTTTGTCAGGATAGCCCATATCCCAGCTGATATTCAAACTGAGCACCTCCCGAATAAGAAGCAAGACAGTTTCTTACTGCTATGCCAACCCCTTGAGTTCCACTTGGTAGTATTTAAATTTTTGTGTTTTCAGTGGTGTTCAAATTCTTAAAGTAAAATACTTGAATAATAGCAGTATACTGACCAATAAGGTTGGGGTAGTGATAATGATGTACTCTTGTATTTGGGAGGTGCTCAGTTTGAATCTCAGCCAGGACATTGGCTATCCTGACAGGTTTTTTGTTGTTTTCTTCCCAGGCAGATGCCTGGATTGTCCTTCAATCATGCCATGACTGCTTCATTCAGTATCTTTGCATTTCATTACATATTAGTCATTTTACTCTTGTGTGCATAACTTACAAATATTTTCATGTTTAATTAAGTTTGGCAACCCATGCTGTGCAATCAAGATATTGACAGCATCGTAAAATAAGACTACAAAAAAGATCTAATAATGTGTCCGGTATCTCAAGAATGTTGAATAGTAGGATGCTTGGTAAGTAATGGATTGTCAAAAAAAAGAAGTGTAAATAAGCAGTCATGGTCCAATCTGAAATATTCCACCACATTTACCTAGAATGTCTTGGGGAAACCTGTGTGAAACCTAATCGAGGATAGATTGTGCCCTAATTGAGATTGGAGGTGGATACTTCCAAAACATGTTGGAAGTGTTAGTACATGGGCAAACTTACTTGGTAATATTCATTTTAAGCCCTACTTCTCAGATTCTTAAAGTTATGAGGGTACGGGAAAACAGCCCTTTTGATATTTTCCGAATATTTGAGGCATTTGATCTTTTGATTTTATTAGTGCCAGTATGCATTTATTTATTTATATGTAAGTGAGATGTGCTCTAGGAGAGGACCTGGTAAATTTAAATGTTGATATTAATATTAAAGGAATGTAAAAAATGAATGCCGTATAGGGGTTTATCTATAGTGATCTTCAGTGATCAGATTGAAACCCTGTAATTGGTATAGTTTGTAGAACGTTTGTGCTTACATGATCTCTGTTCAGTGATTTTTACGTTTGTGGGACTGTGTTGTTGAATAAAATTGTTTGCGAAAAGGATCTTCCTGTTCATCAAATTTTTCATTCAGCTTTCATTAGTATGCAAAATAGTGTAAGTATTCCTCATTGTATGAGATGTAAAAAATATGATTTCATTTTAATGGGATCAACAAATTGAAATCATTTTCAGTTAATAGTGCTGGTTTTAATGCAGACTGCTTGCTGAACAATCAAGAGTGGTGTGGAGAATGGGGTTGTAGATTATTTGTGTGGGTGGCAGTGGAGTGCAGGGGGTGAAGGGGAAATTGGTCTATCCCTGCAATGTCTTCTGAGCATCTGCTGTTGCATGAGAACTCAGAGGCTGGGAAGAAGCTGAAGGTGGATGATATTTTAAATAAACTATGGCCAGCAGATCCACCAGATAACTTGTAGTTAAATTTTGCTTTCAGCTTCAGTGACTGTAAATGCAAAACTCAGTATTGCTGATTTTTTCAACCAGTTCATTTCTCTTCTGCAATCACCTGCTTCATTGTCTTCAACCATTTCCTAGTACATCTCATTGATTTGTCCATCAGATCACCCACCCATCCATTAGCAAGCCATCTACTGTGAGATCAGTAAGCATTCATTTTTATTGTTCATTATTAATGTAAACTGTTTTTGTCATCTAGAAGCTATTTAACAGTATTTAAAATACATTGATACATTTTATAATATTCAGGAGAGAGGGAGAGACAGAATGTATGTTCTGAGACATCTGGGCAAGTGATTTTGACTCTGGTGCAGGGGTTTCTTCTTCTTTTTTGCACAATCAAGGGCATTATGTCATCCAATTTCTTAGCAATGTCTGGCATTGTATTTTTTCAAGATAAATAATTATGAGCATGATTTATTCATACTGAAGTGACATAAATGTTATTTAAATGACTAGATGGATTTACTGTACT